GGCAATACTCACAGCATCTGTCAGCTTTGTCTCCTTTGCTCTCTTTCGGCATATCCCAGGCAGACATTCCAGAGGAAAAATAATTAGCCAGACTGGAATACATGGCGATTATCCTAAATGGTACTTAGATTTCTGCTCTGAGAAATGTGATGAAACCCTTAATGACGTCAAGCAGGAAGGGGAATGGAGAGACAAGGGTTTGAAGCGGTTTTCATTATGAAAACTGACAGCTCTTGTTTAGAATTTCACCCCCAACTGCCAGAGAGATTAATAGTTTTCTTTCAAAGGTACATTTTTATAAGATATGATGTTTTCCTCTGAAAGCTGAATAGCTCCATTCAGAAACATTTGTTGTTGTCAGATGCTGCCTAACTGGGCTGAGAGCCTACTGTAGCTCTGCAGATCTGTGACCTGCACTTCACTCCCTCCAGGCACTATAAATAATTTCCATGGAAACAGCCCTGAAGAAGATATCTGCAAGCCAGGAAGATATCTATAGCCTTTCTGTTAGATTTATGTCTTTTATTTTTCCCTCTCCATTTTCTCAGTTAAACCAACATTAAATACATTCATTTTATAAAATGCTTTACACACACAGCTAAAGTTATAAAAGAAATGAAAGATACAGCAGGGGGAAATCTGTAGGAGATTCCTACTCCACAATACGTATGTACCTATTTATGGGTTATTTTCACACCCTCCATTCCCATTTGCCCCAAGGAAAAATGACATTGCACCTACACTGCACCATTTTCCACCCAAGGAAGAATTCTCCCTTAGTCATCAGGGCTGCAGGTAATCATCTGTGTAAGGTATTTCATGAAGATTGTTCTAATTCGCAGCCTGATGAGGCAGAGAAGAGAAGCAGATCCATGTGAAATCAAAGCTGAAGGGCTCTGAAACAGCCTCGTCAGACCATGAAGGGAGGAAATGAACACAGGGCAATGCACTGCAGTCTAGCCAAGCCCAAATCTGAAGCTTGTCAGGCCTGTATGTCAATTTAACATACAGTTAAAATGAGCTTTCCAGCCACTTCTCCTTCAGCAATGGAAAGAGAATGTTCAATGTAGTAAAGATAATCTGAATATCTACCAAATCCTGTTCTGTCACGATCCCTCAGTTAATGACAGTGCATATATACTGGAGGTGTACTCCCTCTTTCTTCTGGCCCTAGGAATACCATGGCTTTTAGCCCTCTCTGCGAACTGTACTGCTGGTATTGCTTTCATTGTCCACTGAAGCTGCAGATGACCAGTCCAAAGTTTTAAGAGTTTCCTTACTCACTCTACAGGTATGAGGAGAAACAGAGATTGCCTTTTCTGGGCTTGTACAACCTGGCTGGAGTTCAGGGGACAAAGGAAGCCAGTCAAAGCATCAGAATAAAGCTCAAACACAAAGCACCTAAGGAACAGCAACTGTAGTCACTGCTTCATTTCTTTTCAGTATAACAAGAGTTGTCACTGAGCATAATTTACTATTTAAGTAATTATTCTTAGCTGCACTACAAGAAACTTTTGCAGCTCCTTCTCCCCTCTGTGAGCCTCCCGTAGGATCTAGTTTACCCTAACATAAGCTTTGAGCACTAAGAGTTTTCTTCACTAAAACACAGCAGATTCCACACCATCCTTTATATTTTTGCCTGTATTTTATGATCCAAAACACTTCTCTTAGTACATTCAGTACTATCAGAAATAGAGTTCATAGTAGTGTCAACACTAGCATTAAAAATGACAACTTGGGCTTCCTCAAGCCTCAATGCTCTAAAGCAGACTTCTTTAAGAAAAGGTTGCCTATCAGTACATAAGCCATTAGCTATACCCATCTTTTAAGGCTTCTGTTTATATTAGACATGTCAGAAAAATCCCTGAGAAGCCAAGACTTTCTTGGCATTTTTTCATCCAAAAAGTTTAGGAAAACATCAATTAGAAGCTAATTTGTCGCAAGATGTTTGTATTTACATCTGTTCCTATAGCTACTGAAATCCAGAGTGCTGCTCAACTTGTGTTTGACAGGTTTGAGGTCCAACAGTTAAAAGAACAAGAGTACCAAGATTAGAAAATTATTCCTTGCTCTCAAGATATTCTGAAGGTGCCTTTTCTTTTCAGATTGTTCTCCGATCCCAACTCTACCTGTTATAATTCACGCTGTAACTACTTCAGATACAACCCATGTATTTAACATCAACATTACTTATCTGTGCCATCTTACCACTATAAAACGAGTATCTCATAATAATTACCCATCTTCTTTCTCAGAATGATTAAGAAGATTATTCATTAATGTTTGTAGCACTCCTGGGACTCTCAGATGAAAAAGTGGTACATGGATGAAGGGCTTTGAATTTTGAATTCACCATCATAATCACAATTAAATAAAGGAGAAATTTCATGCTGTTACTCTCAGATTCTCTTTTTTTCAGTTCACTATTTTATTTTTTCCTACAGGTTGCCATTTGCTGCCAAATATCCGAAAGGATTCAAAATTCCATACTATAACTTCTTTCAGAACAAACGTACATTGCATCCATCACACGTTAATCAACTGCATCTAGGCAACATAGGTGAAGTTAGCTCATGCTCTTGCCATCACCCCTGGGCAAAGAGATGGGCTCAGCAACTCCCACCTCTGTAACTGCTGGAAGTAGCCACATTAGACACAAAAAAGATGCATAGCAGCAAAACTGTTTCTTAACTTCTGACACAAACCAGGTATCTCATCAGAATCCCTCCAGTGGGAACAGCAATTCCCAACATATGCTGAATCTACCCCCATCTTCCTGCCACAAAAGTACTCACATACTTTGACATTCAGCCCCTGGTTTCTCCTGTCAATCATTTTGAATTAAAAACAGAGTAACAAATTATTTTACAAAATATGGTCTAGACATTAAAAAAAAAAACAAATTAAGAATTTGTGGATTAAGAAAGAGTAAAAGAGAAACAAAGAAATTCAACTCTACTAGTTGGTTTCCCTCTGGCAGTTTTCAGTCCTTTCATTTAAAGTTAGTGACTGAATGTTCCCAAGTGACATCCATTTAGTGTCTGTAACAATTATCTAATAAAATATCTTATAAAGTATAGCAAGATAAAGCATTTTCAGAATCACACTCAGACTTTATGATCATGACATTTGATTCATCAGATTGCAGACTTATTAGAAATAATAGTCTTGGTTTAATTTTCTGAATACCTGATTAATAGCTAGTAAGCTTAAACAGCTTAATATTTTGACATAAGCTTTGAAACAAGATACTGTTTTTCTTAAAACAAGAAAAAATAAGTTTTCAGAAGGATAAACTGTAGGTTTGGTCACTGCAATATACACCTTCAAGTATTATACACAATTATGACAATAGAGGGTTGGAACTGGATGACCTTAAGGGACACCTTCCACTAACAGCAGGCTGCTCCAAGCCCCTGTGTCCAACCTGGCCTCGAACACTGCCAGAGATGGGGCAGCCACAGCTTCTCTGGGCACCCTATGCCAGCATCTCAGCACCCTCACAGAGAACTATATGTGAAATATAGTGAATATACAGAATATATTTGAAATCACAGCTGTGAGCAACCCACACCTAACAGCTACAGGCTCACACCTCAGCTGCAGATTTGGAGTGGCCTGGGAATGAGTTGATCCATTTCTATTCTCAGCCAATTCATCTCCTTTTACAGATATTAAATTCTGTGGTATAATTACTGAAATGTCTTTCACAGTCTTCTTGCTCAGAGATGAGTACTCAGATCATCTGGGATTAGGCTATAATTAATTATAAACAGCCTTCCTTACAAGCACATCCACTTTTATGAACAGACCTTGGTTTTGCAATAGTTTTTTTCTCCTCACAGCTATTTGACTTATGGTTGGGCTAAACAGGCTCCAGCCAGTGGTCCCTTTCCTTCATAGCACAAGTGGGTCATTGCAATAGCTTAGGAAGTAGGCTGCCTTCTGCATTATTCCTAGATACAAGAAACACTTAGGACATCAGAATGCTCCTGAAACTGCGCATGGCATAAGCCTCAGGCTCCTACTACTTTGTCTTCACAAAAGACATTATAATGCTACAGTCCTGAATTGTAGTTAATGTCTAGGATTACCTTTAAACTGTGCTGAAGAAAACCGAAAAAATGCTGCAGAGGGGATTTGAAACAACACTGTTTTTTTTACAAGATGGGAAATATAAGATTTATTCGCTAGCCTTATACAGTTTAAAAATGCTTCTGTAAATAGATCATAGGACTTTCGTTGGTGAGGACAGAAAGTACCTCAGAAGCAGCAATACACAGAGATCAACTAAAGCAGACAAGCATTGCTTATATAATGGCCCTCCAAAGAACCCCAAACAGAAGATTTGCTTTCACCCAGAACGTCACACAGCTGCAGAGGTTGTGCTTTTGCAGAGTCTGAAGGGGAAAGTAAGATTAAAAGCAGAGTTGTTTTTTTTTCCCCTTAATGCTCCTTAATTTTTGTCTCATCCTGCCCCCTGGTGCACAGGTCTGCTGCTTTCACACAGGCACATTTGTACAGCCCTGCGTCTGTTACAGGTATTTGTGAAAAAGAATGTGTATCACTTAATGTGGGAAGGATCTTATTAAATACTAAGGGGAATACAATAGTATTCTTATTGATTTATCTAAAAATTAACAAAGCATCTGCAGAATTTTCAGTGCTGCAATATACATTCTTTCTATTCCAGATAAGTATTTAATGATCACCATTAAGTGAGAATGGATAGTAAGATATATATATATTTATATTTAAACTTACAACGTTCATTATTGAATAATGTTTCAGTATGAGCTCAGGATATAGCATCATCTACAGCATGAGAGAAAGATTATTTATTTACATGTCACAGATTCCTTTCTTTTGTTTCTAGAAGGATCAACAAAGATGCTAGCACAGACCTGCTGTGCTGTAGCACCTTAGGAGCTAGAAAGGTGGTTTGGTCCTTCCTACCTGTTAGATCTAAAGCAGAATTAAAGGCTAAGATTTGTCACCCATTTAACTGCTGCAATTCTACTCTTACTTATTCCTCATTACTTAGAGGAATGATTTCCTCTAAGAGTTACAAAATAAGATACTACCAGCACAGGTAAATGCTAAGTTTAGTCTCTTCAGCATACTCAGCCATGTTTAGGTTATTTTGAGGCAACAAAGTTTGCAAAAGCTCACTATGGCCACATGAATGGTGACACCAGGGTGTGACATTGGAGTACACTCACCTCCCCATGCTCCAGGAACCACCACAGGCCTCTTGATCAACCAGAACAGTCTTAGCAGCAGCCAGAGCCTTCTTCAGGTGCCTTCATCATCCACCTAAAACCCAAACAGATTCTTTATATCTTTCCTTGGTTTTCTAGTGCACAGAAGTGCACCAAAAGGAGCATGACCAGCAGATTAAAGCTCAATCCTGTTCTCACCCAGGCAACACAAATAAGAAGTAACTTGTAGAGGCATATGTAGGAACAAAACACTAAAATAGCAGAAAATATCAGAAACCAGAGCAGAAGCTTTATGTTTTCCATATGCAATGTGGCCTGGGTTCTCAGCTGGTGTCGAGCAGTGTAATCTCCAAAGCTCAACTGCTTTGCACTCTCCAGGAATCCAGCCATGTGTGACAACTTTGGGCAAAGGGAAATTAGACATTTTACTACAGCTGCATGACAATTTGCCTAAACTGTGAATTTACAAGTTGCAATCAGGTTGTTCCGCCCCACACAGGCATGTGAAAACACTGCAGGCTACACGACTTACAGTGCCCCTGCCAGATCCAAAACCTGGTAAGAAAGGGTAGGTTGCAGATGATGACGATCTGCTACCTGCAAACTAATACCAGCATGTTTAGAGAACAGTTTCTTATCACTGGGTATTACCACAGGACAAACTTTTCACTATTTACCCACCCAACCCAGATTAACTTGTGCTCAGGCATTTAGGGATTATGTGTCTTTAGGAGCCTCAGATACTGGGGTACACAGGATTGTGCTTTCAGGGCCATTTGAAGGTTTATTTAAATAACACTCTCACTACACAATTAAAACCAGTTTGGTTTCAGTGTAGTTAACCTGCCAAGGGTACAAGTAGGTGCTATACAGTCTAATTTAAAAAAAAAAGTTCTCTCCCTTTTGCCACTGAAACACAGACAGGGTTCTGGTTCACCTCCAGTGGCTGCAAGTGAGTTAGCCCTCAATTTATACAAACTTAATTCTAAATAGTTCAGATGAGGAAGTGATTCTGCAGTCCTTGCTTGTGTCAAACAGGATACAGTCAGGTGAACACCACCACTGATTTTAATAGTCTAACTGTACACAGGAAATAAGTAAATAAATTAATAAATAGGAAGCTTTACAAAATGAGAAAGTATCTTATTTTTTGTGATTCTGGATTATAAAACACTACCATGCTTAACATTGCTGGCTGAGCCATCCAGTCCATAAACAGTTTCACTGACACAGAATCCCAGGACCTTCAGTGTTGGAAGGGCCCTCTGGAGATCATCCAGTTCAATCCCCTGCCAAGGCAGGGCCACCCAGAGCAGAGCACACAGGAACATGTCCATGGTGGGTTTGGCATGGCTTGAGAGGGAGACTCCACAACCCCCTGGGCAGCCTGTGCCAGGGCTCTGACACCCTCACGTAAAGCAGCTCTTCCTCAGGTTGAGGTGAAATTTGTGTGTTAGTTTGTGGCCACTGCTCCTCAGTCCTGCTCAGGGAAAAGGCAGATTGACAGCCAAACAGCCTGTGACTTGGAGCAATGTCCCTGAAGCCAGCAATTGGGATAGAACAAGTCCCTCCTCTCAGGCACAGAAAGGACCCCTCAGAGACCAGCCTCAGTGTTAAGTTCTGCAGGAGCTGCAGAACAAAAGAAATACCCACTTAGCAAGCTCTAGGGCTTTCGAGACCTTCTTGTGTAACACCTCTCTTCTTACCTGCTGTGATGTTTCAGTGTTTTGTCTGAATGCCCAAACACAGAATTAGAGCCAACCAAGGGAGGCAGCAAAGGCTTTGGACATAGCTCCCAGGCGTGCTGCTTCACTTCTTGGGGTTGCTCACCAGGACAGCAGACTTCTTTCATCAAACCAAAAGATACAGCTGGGAGGAGGGGAAAAAAGAGAGGTTTTCAAGACACATGGATGTTAATGGCTTTTCTGTGCCCCAAAACTGTTTTTCCAACCAGCTGGTCTGTCAAATAGAAGGCATCACATCTGCCTATCCATCTTGCATACTCACCAAGCACTTAAAGAATTAGACAAATAATTCTATTAACAGATAGGGCTGGTTGGTACTGATATGGAGAAAACTCCAGGAACAAACTTGCCAACAAAGTTTTCAAGCTGACAAGCAGGTATTCTTTATTGCGGTGCCAGGAGACATGGGGGATAGCTCCTCCTAACGTGTGTCTCCCCACTGCCACACAAGCCATCCTTTTATAGCCACTGGGCATACATACATATTCATGAGGCTACATATGGATTACATAATTTTCCAAAAAGTTCCCCGCATGCGTACAGAATTGTGGTCGTGGTCTCTGAGGGTCGTTTACTTCTTCCAACAATCTTCATCACTTCTGGCAGCCTTTGAAGCATGCGCAGTAGATGCTCATACCAGTTTAATTGGTTCATTAGCACCAGAGACATAATAATCCTCCTATCCTCCTACTTATCAGTTAGTTTAACTGTAGCCCATCCTAGACACCTGCGGTTCCCAGATACTCCTTATCCCTGTGTCCTATTCTTCTAGACTGTTTTTCGTAAACTATGTCACAACTATAACAATTTATCTTGTGAGAATTCTCAGTATGTTCTCTAGCTGTACTCTATTTTTTTTTCTCTATGTATCATGCACCTCAGTAATTTTCCATTGCTACTGTTACAAAGCCATCAAACTTAACATTACTTAAATCTAATTCTAAAGGTTTCTATATTCTCTTTTGTGATTTTGTGCCCCCTTGTTTCAGTACACGTGTCTTGGCTCTGGACAATTTTTGTTGATGGTCCTCCCTAAGCAGTGTGCAGCAAATTCCCTGCAAAACTTGTATCTGTTCCTGTTAACTAGGACCACAAAGGACAGTTTCTATAGCCTCCCAAATTCTTTCCCTCAACCCATAAGGGGAAGAGGATAGTGAACCTAAAGTAGGAAGATATTCTGTCAATCTTGTAAGAAACCATGAAGATGTTCCAAGGGCTGGATCAGCTCTGCTCTGGAACCAGGCTGAGAGAGCTGGGGTGGTTCAGCCTGGAGAAGGCTCCTTCAGGGGAGACTTAGAGCAGCTGCAGTGCCTAAACGGGCTCCAGGAAACCTGGAGAGGGGCTTTGGACAAGGGCCTGCAGGGACAGGAGAAGGGGAATGACTTTAACCTGCCAGAACAGGGGAGATTAAGATGAGCTCTTAGGCAAAAGCTCTTCCCTGTGAGGGTGCTGAGGCGCTGGCACAGGGTGCCCAGAGAAGCTGTGGCTGCCCCATCCCTGGCAGTGTTCAAGGCCAGGTTGGACACAGGGGCTTGGAGCAACCTGCTCTAGTGAAAGGTGTCCCTGCCTGTGGCAGAGGTTGGAGCTGGATGAGCTGTAAGGTCCCTTCCGACACTATGATTCTGTACATGTGAAGAATTCTAGAGAAGAGACTACTTCTGTATGTATTATCACTAAATGGCTTCCATATAACCATCAAGTGTCTTGAGCACAGTCTCTAGAAAAGAATCTGCTTAGCAGTGTTAAGGAAAGCAGAATCCATCAGTATGTGTATGCTTGTGAAAGAAAGAGTACCAGTTGCCTGGACAAAGAATAGGAAAGCAAAATCCAGTTGTGCAAACCTACCTCTATTAACTGTTCCTCCACTAGCCCCTGCAGAGTTGCCAAGCAGCTCTGGGTGGGGACGCTGGGTTTTGGAGGAAGCCCCTTGCTTTTAACTGGCCTCTTCCTCCTTTTCTTTGTCGTTTCCTTGGTGACAAGCTCCCAACCCCCTCCTTTGCTGTCCGAGCGGCCTCTGCACAGTTTGGGCCTGCAGCCACCAGCCCAGCGCCTCTCGGCCTCCCTAGCGTCTCTTCGCGTCGTCTGCCTCCCTCCGCCCACCAACCCGCTGCAGCAGGGCACGGCGTGCACAGCCCGGTCCATGCTCACCTCAAGAGACGAGCGGAGGCAGCTGGGACACTCGGAGCTCCGCGCTGCCGCCCTGCCCTGCCCAGCCCAGCCCAGCTCCGCCCGGCTGCCACCACAGCGGCCTCGCCTCACCTCACCCTGGGCCCCTGCTCTCAGCGCGCGCGCGCCTTCCCGCGCAAACTGCCACACCGCCCTGCCCCCCTCCCGCCTTCTTCCCGTCATGGCGGTGCCGGCCCGCAGCGCCTCCCCGCGGCAAACGGCCGGTGATGGACGTCGAGGGGCTCGGGTGTGCCGGTGTCCGCGCCGCGGCTCAGACACGGTTTCCTTCTAGAAGTTCCTGTACAGAGACAGAACCTTCCTTGTGTGCACCTGCTTCTTAATCTTTGATACATTTAGCACGTAAGCTCCACAAAGGGTCATTAAATCCCCTGATTTTATATTTAGAAACCCACAGAACTTATCCCAAACCCACAACCATCCACGTTTTACCTGAAGCACTGGGAAGCCCATCACCCCTTTCTCCAGTCATAAATACACCTATGTGACTTGCCAGAATTTCACCTGGAACACCATAGACCCACATGAATATCGTCGCGGGACTCGCCTTCTTCCCACCAGGAATGTCTCTTCTGCTGCTGCTGTTGGGTACATTCCTCAGTCATTTCCGCAAGTTCTATTACGTGAAAACCTGGCCTTTTATTAAAGTAATGAGGTAACTTTTAAACCTGCATTCACTTATAAAAAATACATCTTCTTAGGAAGTTGTTTATATGCCAAGGAGTGATACCATTATTCCTGTGACTTCTCCAAGAGAAAAACTATAATGTTATTTGTGCTACAGCAGTGATTCTGTCCCCTTAACAGTGTCTGACTTTGCTGGGCACAGTAAATTCATGAAACTTCAGTGACTTCCTGGCTCTAAGAGGTCACACTTTAAACAATACATGGAGAAAACCCTGGAGTGTTAATATTGCATGCACATGCACCAGAAGGGATTATTCTCACCATGCATGAATTAGACTACACACTCTTGCTACTTGTACTGAAAGTCCTCAGTCTAATACCACAGCTTGCAGGACTGGAGGTGGAATTACATTCTCTTCCAAAGCCTGCAGATTGAGTGCTCCCTCCCACCCATTCCACTGTACTGCTGCCAAAGTTCACTCTCACTGGTATTGTCATTTCTAGTTTGAAAATGCTTTCAGATTGCAAGAGGCTGCAGTGGAAAAAAAAAAATCACTGACATGAATTTGGCATGCTTCTCTGTGAGCAGCAGAGGGAAACTGCCTGCATTGCAGCATGACAGTCAGCATCCCCCATGGGTAAGAGCATTTGTTTCCCTCATCTGAGAGCAGCACACAACATAGCTGCGCCAAGAGCCATCGTTCACTCTCCTATCAGTGGTCAGCAACAGGGGAAAAGGCGGACTTGGTGAAATCTAGCATGCTGAGCTTGAATCAGCCAGGATGGAGAAGACCTTTAAGATCATCAAGTCAAACTGTTACCAAGGCCACCACTAACCCATGTCACAGCTACCAGAATTTCCACAGAACAAATAATATGCAGGGTCTGGAGCATTTCTGCAGCAAACTCCTGACCTGCAAGTCCAGGTGATTTGAAAGCAGTGCCCTTACAAGCAGTTTCCAGTCTGATGAAGCCACTTTAAAATCATAGAATCATAGAGTGGTTTGGGTTGGAAAGAACCCTAAGATCATCCAGTTCCAAGCCCCCTGCCATGGGCAGGAACACCTCACACTAAACCATGTCACCCAAGGCTCTGTCCAAGCTGGCCTTGAACACTGCCAGGGATGGAGCATTCACAGCTTCCCTGGGCAACCCATTCCAGTGTCTCACCACCCTCACAGTAAAGACTTTCTTCCTTATATCCAATCTAAACTTCCCCTGTTTCAGTTTTAACCCGTTACCCCTTGTCCTTTCACTACAGTCCCTAATGAATAGTCCCTCCCCAGCATCCCTATAGCTGCCCTTCAGATACTGGGAGGCTTCTATGAGGTCTCCACGCAGTCTTCTCTTCTCCAGGCTGAACAGCCCCAATGTTCTGAGCCTGTCTTCATACAGGAGGTGCTCCAGTCCCCTCATCATCCTCGTGTCCTCCTCTGGACTTGTTCCAACAGTTCCATGTCCTTTTTATGTTGAGGACACCAGAACTGCACACAATACTCCAGGTGAGGTCTCACAAGAGCAGAGCAGTGGGGCAGGATCACCTCCTTCGACCTGCTGGTCACGCTCCTTTTGATGCAGCCCAGGATACAGTTGGCTTTCTGGCTGTGAGCGCACACTGAAGCCGGCTCATGTTAAATTTTTCATCAAACAGCACCCCCAAAAAATCTGTTATGCTTGTCTCTACTGAGAACAGTTTTTGGCATATCTTAAAAACATTGTAGAGTGGTTCTCAGTTTTGAGAAGCTTCGTTTCTTCTTCTTATGCTGAAGATGTTTGAGCTTCCATAGAAGGACTAATCAAACCAAAAGAATACTCTGTCATAGACTGTGTGTGGACCAGATGTGCTGCTGTTGATGTTACCAAGAGATTTTTCCCCCAGTGGGTTCATAGGAACAGGAAGAGGCCATATGGTAGTAAAGATAATTTACATAGCACCTTTTAGCACTGAATATCACAAAGCACCTTGCAAGTCACCTACTGTTCAGGAAGAATTTCACTCAGAACTGAAATGCACATACCTTTAGGGTAAAACTTGGCAAACACATAATAGACACAGTAATGCTATGAAACAAGTAACTTGCTGTAAAGAATAAAGCCATAGCAAACTTAATCCTGAGAGGAAGATGGGCAGACAAATTCTATCTATAAATCAGTTGCAATTGGCACAGTTTCCCCCTATATGCAAAGCAATACTTTTTTAAAACTAGTATCTCCTTTTTAGTAAGTGCAACCCTGTTAAAATGATCTGCAAATATAGACACTGAAAGTGGAACACAAGACCAAGTGGGCAACTTCTTATTAGTTCTGTAGACATTTACTGTACATATGCACAGTAAATGTGCATCCATCACCTTAATCTCAATGTCCCAGAAGGTAATGTGGCCAAGAAAAGTTGTTCTAGTTTTTTTATACTTGTAACTAGGAGGTAGTTTAGGAGGCTCTAGGCAGTTTCTGATTCTGTCACAAATATCACTACAGAAGTCTCAATAACCAAGAAAAAGGAGGTGTTTAAAATACAATAACATTTTCCTTCTATCCATCTTGGGGAAAATGAACAGTAGGAGAAAGAACACATGATAAAGTGCGATCTGCATCAGAGGCAGTAAAGAAAACAGTACTGTCTTTTCAAATCAACATAAAATTTCTTTACTGAGGTCTAGTATTTAAAAATGTTCCCTTCTTTGGTTACCATTCTACCACTTCCAGACTGATGCTTTCAGCCCAGAATCTGTCTAATCTCCAGTAGGTACATTCATATTATGTTTAAGTGCTGTAAGAAGGCAATTCTAAATGCTGCTCAACAAATGAAATGAATATTAAGTAGACAGACACCATGATTTAATTTATGTTCTATATTTATAGAGCTCCCAGAAGAACTAACTACAAAATCCTTCACCGCACTTCAAATGAACCTGGAAATGTAGTTTATGGAAAGAGACTCTGGAGACAAGGATTTTTGAAGAACCTGGAAAGTTCAGCTCCTACCTTTTGCTTTTCTGTTCTCAGAATTGCTGTCCTGTCCATGCACAGTAACTCAGGCCTGGTCACACAGTCATAGCAGTCTTAGCACCACGTTTACCCTTGCAACCTAGCTGCAGTGCTCCTTCCTATCCCAGAAAAGAGAAAGGTGTAAAGACAACGTTACTGACTCTGTAATAAATGAGGTAACAAGTAAGACATGTAATAAGTGACCAGCAGGTCTTATCTTCATCCCAGCACTGCAACTTTTATAACCAAGAGCACAACATTTTCAGCACAGCTATGGGACAGCTGAAAAACTTCTGGGTATTAAACTAGCTGCCAGTTAGGAGGAAAGGGGTTTCTTGGAGCTGTTCAAACCCTTAAAATTGACTATGACAAGACAGAGCATCAGGATATTCCTGCTCACTCCAAAGGAGTAATAGCAGAGGTTGTACAGCAGACACACTTGAAAATCATGGATTAGAAAAGACACCAAAGGTTTCCTTGACTCAGATGTCCAAGGGGGAGCAGCACAGCCATGTACTGAAGTTCTGTACTCTTACCCCAATATGGACCTGATAAGCATTCCTGGGAAGTGTGCAGGAGCAGTATTACTCCACAATGATGATGCCCATTTCCATGGTGGTGTTTTGTTCTGCCTCCTGATGTACTTACAATCAGAGGTGCAGAACAGGATGAATCCAATGTGCTCAACCCCCAGGAGCAATTTGGTTTTTTTCATTTTTAAAGTAAGAGTCATAGGCACTAAAAGGCTGTGAAATTACTATTATTAAACTACCTTTAAATATGTTTAATGGCACCACATGCTGACTCAGAAATTCCTTTCCTCCAAGCCTATAGAAAGCGGAGGGCTTAATTGTGAATGCTTTATTATTGTGTTGATAAATGTACCATAGCATTCATGCCCTTTCAGAAAAAAATTCACACAGGCCCTTTTTCATGCAGTGTCTTAAAGATAAAACTTCAATAAATCTCCTTAGAAGAGCAATCTGAGCTTCTGTAGTAAAAATAATAATAAAACTAGCACTTACCTTACTTTAGATCTTCAAAGTGCTGTTTGGATATTAAGCAATTTGTCCCTGTTGCCAAGGATTTTAGTTTGCATTGGACAGCAAGTAGCAGCAGGTATCTTCCCACCTCCCTTTCCCCTGTCTCCATTAGGGTTTTTTCTCCTTCCTGTTCTATTACACATATGCTAGATTGGCTTCCCTGTACATGGGAATTCCAGACATCTCTTCCTGATGCTACTGAATGGTTTGAATTTGCTTTTACCAGCCAGGGGAACCCATCAGACATCTATTATTTCTAAGATTTCTCAGGAATGGAAAGGAGAGTCAACTTTCTTCTAAAGCCTGTTCTCTTGCCGTAACACTGAGATGCCATGAGTATGTTTTACAAGGAAATATCCCCTTCTTTCTAGCTCCAACGCCCTTATTTTCTACCAAAACTAGTGAAACCAGGGGGAGTAGCACAGTATTTGTGCTTACACAAATACAAGGATAAATACTATTGCCCTCAGTTTGTATAAAGTGACAATTCCTGCTGTTTATAGGAAACCACCTCCTTTTCAGGTAGCAGGAAGTGCAGGGAAAAGAGTCAGAGCTGCTTTACAAACTGGGGACCACTGTACAATAACCGAGATTTGCAGAGCCAGAGCCTGTCAAGGCAGCAATGCCAGAAAGCAGTTGTACTTCAGATGTATTGCGCTCCCACCCCACCCAGAACCTCAGAAGCTGGTACAGTCCTGGCTCCTCTTTGCAGCACCTCTTTCTGTATGTGTTCAGAAGTGTAAAGTAAACCACATCCTTGGAATTTCAAATTATACCCCAAGGAGACTGAGGAGTTTGCAGATGTAACCAGCATGAATTCAGTACATTAATTCTGCAGGCAGAAGAGCGTCCAATGTCCAAGTGCATTACAGCCATTTATCTTCTGCTTATCCAGGAAGATTTCTATAAGCTTGTGAGGGGAACATTGTCAATAAACATGAAAATAAAACCACCACAACCTTGGCTTGAGGAATGTTTCCCAAAGGTAAGGATTACCATCACCCAGTGATGCAATCCTGTTTCCAGATGGTACCAGCATAGAGACATGGCATATCCACAGCAGCTATGACTGAGCTGTGAACCTTGTATTGCTTCATTGTTTTCTCTCCCTGTCTCATAGAATCACATCATCAACCAGGTCAGGAAAGACTTTTAAGATCAAGTCTAACCTGAAAGTGAGAAGCATAATAGTACACGTCCTGAAAGGGCTCTGCCACATGCTTGGTTCCCAAGGACTTCATGGCTTCCCCTGCAGAAGTGGTTCTGATAGGTTGTGTTAAAACCCAGCCCCCTGTTTGTAAGACCAATACAAATCAGTAGATGTAGAGGAAACAGCTGCTGCACAGTGATCATTAAGGTCCTTTCCAGCCCTTAACTATTCTATGATTCTATGATCTTACCCTTTGCCAGTACTAGTAATGACTGCTCCAAGAAGATGCAGACAGGATCATAGATCGTACTAGATAGAGTCACAGAATGGTTTGGATTGGAAGATGTCAATTACAGGAATTAGGTATGTATTATTGGTAGAGAAGAATTGATACAGCTGAAGCAAAACCATGAGATTTTGGGGGTCTGAAAGCATGAAGCAGAATTGTTTCTCTCTGATGGTACACAGCAAAGATTTCTGAGCTGATTTATTACATAGCTTATGAAAGATCAACACATGTACAGAGAACAAATCACTGTTTTCTTTTCTTCTTCTCAGAACCATAACTGAAGTGGAGGCTGAGACGGAAAGGAAACTCTGACTCAGTTTTCAAGGGCAGGTCTCTTGCTACTTAGCGCAGGAATTGTTTGAGTTTTCTGTTACGTTCTATGCTGCCATCATCTGGCTCTTTTCAGAAAAACTGACATTTTCCAAATCTCTGTTACCTCCCTCCAGGCCTGTTTTCCTCTGGGTAGGAAGTTTCAGTGATTCCTGGGAAGGTATTTCACAGCAAAGATTTGCACTTGTCCAAACAGCAAGCTTCTCTCTAGCTACCACAATCCCTTTTGGCTAGGCATCCAGCTCCCTTTGCCTAACTGAGCACTCAGGACAGAGGGAGGATGTTGATTTATGTGTCTTTTCACACTCCAACCTACTAGTCTGATTCTAGCTCTTCTCAATCATCCAGCAGAGGTTCCTTGCTAGCAAGGCAGTTACTTTTAGCATGCAAGCCACCGGGGTCCTGACCGTGTCCTCCTAATTTAGGGAACACAGACACCTGGTCATGGGAAACACCTTTCTTCCTACAGTAAAAGGGGTGTTCCCAGCTCTTCCAGGGATTAATTTCAATACAAACAGATCTCTGAGGCAAATACTATCTGCTGCCTGACAGGGCAGTGATAAAAGGTGAGAGAATCTTTCCAACCAGCTTACACTGACCCAAGGCCACACTGCTTCCAAGAGATACAACCTTCTCCTCCTTCCCATTCGACTAGCAACCAGAGTACTGTGTAAGGCTTCAGAAACATTGCTCTGCCTAAAAATTGGATTTCTGATGGCTAATAAAGCTCTCGGTGAACCATGAAAGCAGTGATGCTAATGCAGACGTGAGGGAGAATGATACGTGCAATAAACTTGGCATTGTCTTTAGGCTGCAGCACACCTAAAGAAAGTCTTTTATTTTTTTTTGCCTTTCCAGTCATAGGAGGGGGAAGGAATTGTTCCTCAGCTCCATCTAAACCTCCCCTGGTGCAGCTTGAGGCCGTTTCCTCTTGTCCCATCCCTTGTTCCTTGGGAGCAGAGCCCAGCCCCTCCTGGCTCCATCCTCTTGTCAGGCAGTTGTAGGGAGCGATCAGGTCCCCCCTGAGCCTTCTCTCCTCCAGACTGAACCCCCTAGGTCCCTCAGCTGCTCCCCATCACATTTGTGCTCCAGGCCCTGCACCAGCTCCATTGCCCTTCTCTGGGAAATATTGGGTATTTTCTTTACTCCCTGTTCTTCCCAGGAGCCCTCTGGTCTCTGCACATGCCAGACTAAAGTAGACTGAGCAAAACATACCCAGCTTCTTTGTCTCCCTGCCAAAGGATTCACCTAACCTGTTATGTAGGTGGGAAGAACAGGAAAGCAGGGCTGCTTGCCTCTCTGCTGGCCAGCCACAGCCCAGTCCCAGTGCAGAACAAGAAGATACCACACAGAACACTTCTGTTGTACAGGAACTGCAAACAGGCAAAGAGAGCACATCAATCAGTGTGCACTTCTTGACAGGATACTAACTGATCACCACAGGGAGACAACAGCATGGGGTTACTGGGAGACATTCCAATATGCTTCCCTTCATTCCTTTTCCTGAACCATTGCCCAGGAGATGTAGGTAAGATAAGCCTCTGCTGGACATGTCCCTGTTTTTCGCAATAGGGAACTACTGCATCCAAGGGAGACTTTGGGGCCTGTAGTTTAGAAATGACAAATCTTGGGGCAAAACAGGAAAAAAGGGCATATTTAAACAGGGACTGTAAGGGCAAACCTAAAGGGCGAGAAGGAGAAGGGAGACTTGGTCTTAGAAACTTTAAGAGCAGCTGCTTGGATTTAATCCCCACAGCTCAACCTTGGAAAATCTGCAGAATCAAAACTGAAATTAGAGAGACCCTTCCTTAATGACTAAAGTAAAACCATGGCTAATACTGGGTATGCAGAAATGACCATGCATTCTGCCCAAGCAGTAACTGCAAATGACAGCATGCTGAAGTTTACAGAGCCTCTGTTTGCTGCTTAGTTTTTATTGACAGAACAGAGGTGGGACAAAGAAGACAGAGGATGTGACAGCTGAATTAAAGCTCCATTGGGAATTCAAATCTGAATTGGATATGAATGAATGCATGCAGGTCTTGTGCTTCTCCTAAAGACCTCCACTGACCTGAATACGAGCTGAATGCCTCCCTCATGCATCCTGGCAGAAATGGACTGAGACTTCCAGACCCATTTAGGAACTAGCAGAAATGGACCTGGGCTTCCAAGGCTTTAAAGAAATCCCAATCCTATAGAAGCAACACCGAAAACGCACGCATACCTCTGTAAAAATACCCATGTCAGCACGGTTAAACATTGTAGGCTTGAGAATACCTTGCATACAGTTGTTTGCAGAGGAAATGCAGACAAGTCCTTTATTGGCCCTGTATTGTACCACTGGCATTTATTTCTTATGCAGCCAGTTTTCCTAGCCTTGACCTGCTTAACTTTAGAGCAAGAAGCAGCAAATCATATAGAAATATGTGGTGAGTGTTCCTCTCTTGTGGATTAAACCAACCAACGAATGCTTCATTTCATTTTCCAAGCAGGCTTTCTTATGTTCCTGGAGAGTGCTGATGCCCTGTGATATCTGAGCAAGACAGCATTAGGACCATAGACATGGTACTCCTCCTTGCTTTCTTGATAAAAGAATAATGAACTCAGTGGTGCAGAAGCAACACAACATGCCTGTACGAAGGCGACCTCAAAGCCCACTCAGCTACTACACTGGTGTGCATTAAAATTAATGAGTTTCTGCTACAAAAAGAAAGAGGTAAGAGGTGTCCTTAGGTGGGAAGGAGATCTCTGATCTTGTGTTATAGCACAGCCACTGAGCTACAGAATCCTGCACTGCTTAGTCTCAAATACATTTCTTTTTTAACAGGGGAAGCAAGGACAGGCTGAATACACTTACTATATCTATTGAAAGAGGGGATAGGAGAACTTCTCATTTGCATCTTAAGCACCTTCCCATTAGTAAAGACTGGACTGCCATTAAGACTCTTTTTTTCTCCCCTTTTATATAGCTAATAGAGCAAAAAATTGGCAATATTGAATGCCAGGCAGCACCTGAGGCTGCTAACTCAGCCAATACAGCCACAGTGCTTAATGGATCTCAATTACAGAGCCCTTATTTTTTGTGCATGGGAACATCTATCTGGAGGTCAGCACATTTCATTAATATTTTTGATTAACGCATCCTTCACAGTGGTTTGGAGCTTTTAATGCTCCCTGGTTAATGAAGCAACATCCTGAAGCAGCCATTAGCTTGGGACATAATACGCATTCAAAATTGCTGTTTCATTAAGACAGCTCACTTTTACCCCAGATTCTTCAAGGCTTCATCCAACTGCAAAGAAGAGTTAGTAACACCCTGTGACACTAACATCACTTTGAAGCTCCTGTCCTGCCTAAGTGTTCCAGCGAGGAACAAAAGTAACAAGCATGTTTCACATCTGAAAAGCACGTCAAGTATTTTATGAGCTCTGCTCAAGCCGTTTGCTTGGATTGAACTTCTAACTGGAAGACACTTTACCACAGACTACCTGAATTCCACAGAAGAATTGCCTAAAATCTTAAGGAAGGTCACTTCCTATTTTTAGGTGCTAGAGACACATCAATCTCAGATACATCAGTGATTGATAGCTTTGGCCATAGAATAAAATTACAAGTAAAAGTCAGAAAACCAAGATCACCTCAAAACTGCTCTGAACTATCCCATATGCTCCAAATATTCTCTTATTGGCGAGATCTGATCTCAGACTACTCAGATTTGACATTTATGCACTTTCTGTCCCAGAATTCAGTGTAGCCTACAGAGAACTCAGAGAAGGGGGGAAAGAAGTTCAGCCTGCTAATGTATGGAGCTTTCCAAATGTAATGCGCCTGTGATTTATGCCTAAAAATCTTTGCCATGTCACTGGTGCTGAACTTACTATTTCTACAATATACCTTCCTCAGTCTGCAGGCTGTTTCTGGTCTAGTTTAATCAAGTTCAGCCTATTAAAAGTATGACATTATTTTGGGCAGTTATTTTGCTTATCTCATTAAACCCAGAAATTTGCTATACTGCCATGCCATTAAATCCCAGACAGTCGAGGAGCATTCAATTAGGACTGCATTATTCATCATTACTTACATTTAGTTTTCCTTTAGTCTCAATACCTTCAATCTTTCTCAAAATACATACCACACAAAGAAACATGGCATCTGAAGGTCAGCCTCTATCACTTCTTTTAGGGAAAGAGATTTTTTGGGAAGGCAGGAAAGAAAATGGAAATGAAAATGTGTCCCAGAAGCCTCCAGAAACATTATTTAAATAAATAACCTAAATACAGTTGATTCCAGCTTCTCCAGTTAAGGCAAAATAGAACCCCAGCACTGAGCAATCTGCCACGTATTCAATAAAACCTCAGACTGGGCTCTGGCAAGGAACTGATTTCTCTCTTCCTTCCCTCCTAATATAAAGAAAGTTCAATTGGATGTGTGGAAACATAATTAAGAGACATTTCCACAATGGAAATGGAGCTATAAACACTGGTACTATATGAAGACAAAAGTCTCAATATAAAGTAAAGACAAAATGGTCAGTGGTCCTTAACATATATCTGTGCTAGAGAGCAGTTCAGCTGAGAAACACATGGGTGTATTGGTGGATGATGAGTTGACCATGAGCCGGCCCTTGAGCCAGGAGGGACAAGAGTGCCCTGGGGTGCATCAGGAGGAGTACAGCAGCAGGTAGAGGGAGGTGATTCCTCCCCCTCTACTGACCCTGGTGAGGCCACAACTGGAGTACTGTGCCCAGTGCTGGGCTCCTCAGTATGAGAAAGATAACGAGATGCTTGAGAGGGGCCAGTGGAGGCCACAGGGATGCTCAGGGGTCTGGAACGCCTCTCTTATGGGGCCTGGTTATTCTGGAGAAGAGCAGCCTGAGAGGGGGTCTCATCAATGCAGATCAATAGCTCAAAGGCGGGTGCCAGGGGGATGGTGAGAGAGGTGCCAGGGGGATGGACAGCAGAGAGTAGTCCTTATTTACAGTTCATAATCTTGTCAGCAGGAGTCACCTCTGGGAAATGGGCTGTGCTGATTGCAGCTCCCATCAGCCAGCACATGCACCATGGACTTGGACCCAGCTTGCCACACAGCTGGTATTCCTGTGCTAACCAATGCCTGTGACAACCTACCTTTAATTAGAGCACAAAACACAGAACAAGATCCCAGCTGGCTTTTGAGTATTTCCACATCGCCAAGAGATCCCACGTAGAATCATAAAATGGTTGGGGTTGGAAAGGACCTTAAGATCATGCAATTCCAGCCCCCTGCTTCAGGCAGCGACACCTCACACTAGACCATGTCACCCAAGGCTTTGTCCAACCTGGCCTTGAACACCACCAGGGATGGAACATTCACCCCTTCCTTGCGCAACCCATTCCAGTGCCTCACCACCCTCAACATCACCAAACTGGAAAGAAGTAAAAAGACAGTGGCTTTCTGGGATAGTTCAGAGGTTTACAGCCATATTCTCTAACCCCTGAAACTTCCACTGCAAGTGGCAATGGTCCTCCACATTTCTGACCAGTTCACAATTTCCCTACTTCCTTAACTCTCTGCTCCTGACCCATCTATTTAGAGAAGCAGCTTTTCCAGACTTTCAATTGTCTAACATACAAGGGGTGATGGGTTTAAACTAAAAGAGGGAGATTAATGCTGGATGTGAGGAGGAAATTTTTTACAGTGGGGGTGGTGAAATGCTGTCACAGGTTGTCCAGAGAGGTGGTGGATGCCCCATCTCTGGAGACACTCAAGGCCATATTATGGTTCTGTGCAACCTGATCTGGTTGAAGGTGTCCCTGCTCATTGCAGAGAGTTGGACTAAATGTGCTTTGAATGTCCATCCACCCCAAAACATTCTGTGATTCTGTAATACTCTTATTGTATCTCTAAGAAAATTCAGCATTCCTGATCACAGCAGTTCAGTTTTAGAATGGATTTGCTGTGATTTTTCCTGAAGACTCTCAACAGACCTATTTCACTTACAAGAGTTCATGACATTTATGCTTATAATGCTTTGTAAAAAGCAACGTTATCACCTGCCTAGCATTATCTGTCCAGAAATTACAGTAAATCACCACAACCTTTACCTCACCCACTAATTCAGTTAGGCTACTTCTAGAACAAAGGGCCACAATAAATGCCAAAGCAAGTGCTACACCCCCTTATAAATCACACAGCCCCAATTCCCTTATTTAACAAGTTAAATATTTACTAGATTATAGCCAGCAAACAACACATTAGGTCCCTTAGACAACCACTGATTTCTTAGAGGTAAAGCCTGTAGCAAGTATTTCTTAGCCCCACCATGAACGTTTCTAAAATATCTTTTTCCATCTGCTTTCCTTGAACTCCCAAAAGAAAGTTAAACTTCACCTGGATGGATATGTGCATTCCCAAAGCACAATAGCACAGCATCAACAGGATTTAGCATCTCAGACTGGTTTTCTTCCAGTCCTTTTACCTTGTCGCCGATTGCAAAGGCATTGTGATAAATGTGACATCGAAATGCAGTCCCGTGCTTTGGTTTCTGAACATCAAAGACAAAGAAGGTAAGATCTCTATTTCTTCACATCTATTTAGGCTGCACACCACTCTTCTTAAGAAATATGGCTACCAAAATCTGTCTTTCCATAGTATTTTGATCCTGCTCTTCATTCTGTTTTTCTTACTAAATAAAATCCTGGTTTATGCTTCCCCAGTTATCTGGATCTGGATTATGAGGTCTTGTGCTTTCAGATGTGGGAGGAGAGGACTGAGAAATATGTGTGTTATTCCATCATACCTTTAATGCATTTATGCAAGTTCACAATGGATGAGTATCTATTTCAAAGGTAGAACTACACAAATCTTGAAATATCTGTGTGACTGGACTATAGCTGCTCTTGGGAGACGGGGAAAACAGGACAGAAAGACAGGGCAAGGAAAAAGGAGAAGGGGATGCTGCAATGTAGTTAAATTTAATCCAAGTGTCCTAAACCTTCTTCTGTGACATTAAAACATGTTAGAGAGTGATTTTGAACACAGAAGAAACACTGTGGTCAGGGTGCTGATTTGACTAACAGCAAAGCAGCCATGCATAGCAGGAATCACAGCTCACATAGAGATATACAGATTGGGTGTTTTGGCTTTTATTTAAACCACAACTCTTACCGCCAGAACTAGGACTATTTTAATGACAATCTAATTAGCCACATCTGGTTAAACCATTCTGTTTGCTCAGGAAAGGCATCAAAAAGCATTGTGAGGAGAGCCATCACTGAGAAGTATAAACAGAGACAGCTTTTGCCTTGCTCTGTGGATCCTCCTGGGGTAATGGGTGGACTTGATGATCTCAAAGGTCTTTTCCAACCTGGTTGATTCTATGATTCTTTGGACACCAGAACTATGTGCAGCACTTAATTGCCTTAAACATGCCCCACACTGAATTTTCTGCTGGTTTATGTGATGGTTCCATATTCGGAGCTGTGTTCTCATGAAGCTCATGTTTGACCGAACTTCTGAGTCCTGAACATCCCTAAATGATAACTCCTGCTCAGCTTGCCTCACTCTCAGCATAGGTTATTTCACCTTTCAAACACTCTGGCACCTTAATCTTCACTTTAAGTTGCTGAAAACAATTTCTATTTTTCCAGTGTTCCCTGTTCCATTTTTCAACTCCGTACTTTTTCTATAGACTTCACCTGCACAGATGAGGCTTCTTTTGAATGCAGGGGCCTGCTTTCTGCATGGCTCTTTACCTCTCTCTCACATCCTGTTTTAATAGCGATGCTCAGAAGATTCATTTCAGATTGAACTCTCAGAGAAGGGAATGAACCACAGCCTTTTTTCCCTGCTTTGTGGTAAATTCCAACCCTGGACATCCATAGCTTGGGACTGGTGTTGGTAGAGGCTTTAGAGAAATAAGCAGATGAATTAAGAACTGGTTTAGAAATTACCAAGTTTTTCCCATGCTTTTTAATTTCTCACTCATTTAACTGTAACTGTTTGTGTTCATGTTTTCATCTAAATGATACACATAACTTACGGGGTTTTTCTTTTAATGTGCTTAGTTATAAATCAAACTGTTCCCATGCAGATTGCCACAGATTATTGTTTCTACCTGTAGAATCCCAGTTCCACTCCCAATCAACACAATCATGCACATAACATAACAAGTGAAATTAGTACATCCAGGGAGAACTGGTGAATGGACACAAAGACGAGAAAGAACAATCAAAGCTGATGAACACGGTGTGAATTACTAGGACACTTCGCTGGGCTCTGAATTAGCTGTAGGTGTGTTTACATGGCTCAGGAAGCAGACATCAGCATTATCTTGGGTAAGTGAAGAGGTAACTGTGTACACAGCAGTAGCCAAAAATGCAAAGAAGATTTATAAAGGCTGAAAGTGTGAAGAACAGAATGTTGGAATTTCTAGAAAGCATTAGCACAAATTTATCCAGAATACCATAAGCAGTGATTTCTGCATCCATTGAAAGGATTTTTGAGAATTAGAACAGACTTTGGGAAGGGTAAAAATAATACCTGAAAACCAGGGAATACTAAAATCACTTATTTTAGGTACAGTCCAGAACGCAGCACAGTAAGGAAGATCAAACTGTCCATCTCTGTTCAAAAAGGAGGTGGCACCTCATAAAAGGTGGAAAATCAACATAATCCTTTTACACTCACTGTGTAGTCAAACTATGGAACCCGTTGCCACAAGAGGGTGTTGAAATTCATGATTCAATATTAAGGAAGGGATCAAGTAATGACTTCCAGAATTTTCAAGTATAATTCGGAGATCAACTTTGGAAAAAAGTTATTTCATGTTTCCAAATTCAAGCCAAATTTTGCCAGAGATAGGTAAGGGATCCATGAGGGTAAAGGGAAGGACAGACTGATTATTCTTTGTATCAGTACTAGGCTGTGCAGTGTTGGGAAAGGGATAATAGACATAGACGCATCTTGGTTCTCTTCCAGGGTGGCACTTCAGTTCTCCTAGAATAGACAGTAGCCAACAGTCCAATAAACTCTCCTGAATGCTCCTATTAAGGGGGATGAAGAATGGAGATTAAAATGAAAATGCACCATAAATGCTTCTGGTCATGTTAAAATGTTGATTTAATATATTTTCAAAGTGTGTGGACGCATTAGACTTGTTCTGACCTGCGTTGTTGTGGGGTAATTTTTTGTACAAAGACTCAAGAACATTGCTTTGCTGAGAGGAAAACCAGCACAGCAGAAAGAGGTTCTGTAGTCAGCAGAGGGAGTCAGCCACTTCCAGAAAGCTATTCAGCTATGTTACACGTGGCCAAAGTGCCCCCTGGAGATACCCCACTCTGCTGATCACAGTGGGAATCTGACACCTACCCTATATCTATACTGAGACATGGACATGGAATTGGTGGAACAACATTCTCCAGCTAACTTAATGTTGGTGTGTAATCTGTTAACTCTCAGTATGGCTCTCTCAACACAGAACTGTTCTGCCAGCTTCCTGTGAGAGGCATGAAGCAAATGCAGGTTGTTACATAGTGAAGGTTTTCACTGACTCTGGTTTTAAGAATGTCCCTCATTTTAAACAGCAGAATAAATCCCACCTCAGGCACAGAGAAGGCTGGAGCCAAATTCTGGCAGCTTCAGCCCCACCAAGTGGTGTTGATTTCTACAGCCTTTTTCCTGAAGAAAGGATGTATAAAGTTGTCCCGTGCTCCTGTTGGCTGAAGCGTCATGGCAAGTTCCTTTCAGAAACCCAAGACTGAGATGAATTTCGAGGTTTTCCAGTGTTTCAGCAGCCTCCCCTCTTCCAACCTGTGTCAGGAAACTGGTTTCTAAATAGCTGCTGGTGGGACTGTGTCAGAAGCGCACAGGACACGGCTATGTAGAGCAAAAGGCAGATAGCAAAGAGCAGCACTGTGATTGCCTGGCACTGTCCATATCACCTTCAAGCTGGGACTTGTATAAATCAGTACCAACCAGCTATGTAACTGATAGCAAAGCGTATCTACACACACAGCAACAGGAGCCTGTGTGATTTCACTAGTTTAAGTACTTGTAAGCAGCAAAGAAAAGGTGCAATAGCTCATGTCATGAAGGCCTGAAGGCAGAAGGGTTCTGGGGAGGGTAGGAGGGCTGGGTGCTGGGGGGAAGCATGGACTGACTCAGAGTGGCAGCAGTAACAGCCTGTTTGACTGCGGGACTCAATGGCAGCAGTCAGCTCAACACCAATCCAGCTGCTTCCGGGTAGTGTTTTCTGTAACAAACTAGAGGTCTTTGAATCAGGGTGAACTGGTACAGAACGTGGCTGAAGACTCAAGAGAGGTGGTTCCCTGTGTTTAAAGATGCTTCAAGTTTTGGAATTCCAGAGGGAATTCACAATCCAATATGGAATTAATTAGAGTGTCAGATTCTCTACTACTGCATAGTACCATGCATGCCAGCAGACAATGTGATTCCTAGCAAGCACTATGAAGGTGTAATTATAGGGGGGTTTCTACCTGTAGCACCAAAACTTTACTTACTATCATGTTGGAAAGGTTTCCTTTGCTTATGCTAGAGCAAACACAGCTCCCTTCTGTTTAATTCCTGCACTCCTTTCCCAAAGGCTAGATGGCAAGCGGTAAGCATGAAAGGAAAACCACTAATGAGCAGTACTTATCTATTAGCCGTTACCTAGGGAGATTCCCACTCCATCTGTTGACTGAGAGATATTTCAACAGGAAGATTACCCAGATCTGATAAGGAATATTTCCAGCATAGGCAGGTCTCATGCTCAATAGGTAATAACATTAGTCTAACATCTAAAGAGTGCCAAGCAGTACAAACAGGTTCAAAAATCTTTGATTATGGATTCACTCTGGCATAAATGAACTAAACCTCAGTGGTGCTACCCTGATAGCTTAATTCTCAAATTCATCCTACAATGGACAAACCGCGCATTAAATGCAAAGTCAACAGAGAGCTCTGGGCAAGTTAAATCGTGGCAGAAGAGGTGAATTTTTTCCCGGTTTACTTTATAACACTCTACTTACCTTTGGCCTGTAATAAAATCCATGAGATGAGCAGAGCAATTTGCAGGCATTTAACAAATAGAAGAGATAGGAGGGATCTTGGCAGCCCTGTCAGTGACCATTCTTATGCAAACATATAGAAGCTACCACAGAGTTCCTTAACTTCTTAAAGCATCTGCAGGGGGATGAGATATGAAGTGACAAGTGAATTGTCACACACCATTCCTACAAAGCAGGCATTTCTAGCAATTACATCTATACAAATATGCAGACAAAGTTACACAAACCAGTACTTTGTGCTGGTTTCTTCACTTGCTCTTTTCTGGCATGTGCAAAGCACATCTCCCTCTGTGATATATCTGTCTATCTATATCTATCTATCTATCTATCTACACACACACATAAACAGAATGACAATTGATTCATTCAGCTGGCAATCCATTTCTATTTCCTAATCTGGTTTTTAAGGCAGGGAGATCACAATAACTTTGTATTTAACTATGGAACCTGGTTTGTTTAAAGCTTGTTACAGGAAGTTGGAATATTTTTACATGCCCATTTACTTGTAGCTTCATTTCTGCAATTCAATTTTAAATTCTATTTTCTAATTAAATTGTATTTAATTGAGGCCTTTCTGAATGTGCAAAACTGCCTAAACGATAACGTTGTTCCATGTGGCAGATAAATCTGAGAAGCAGCTCAGAAGATGAGCATTTTACATCCTGAACAAAAGACCCATGCAACAATCTGGCTGCTGACTGCAGAAAACCAAGGGAGGCAGCAGTTGTGCTCTCTTGGGAGGCCTGAAAATGGTGACTAGAGAACAAAAAAGGCCAGATTTGCAGGAGCATGAATGCCTGTCGCAAGAGTTACACAAGAGCTCTCCGGTAGGTAACAGACATCTCTGTCACCATGGTTGCCATAATACCTGACTCCTCCCATTATAGAACTGGATCAACCAACTAAGAACACGTCAGGACACAGGCTCAGAGATCCTTGTGCCTTAACAGCTGCTCATGGAGGTGGACACATGGCCCCTGCACCCGGTTCTAAAGTTTCTGCTGATGACTGCAGTGGAATTTGGGTGTGAATACATTCAGCTTCCATTCCTCTATCTAGAATGTAGTAAGGCCAAGCCAACAATTCAGTTGTGCTTCTTCCTTAAATGACTTCTTTTCCTGTTTGCCACATTTCCTTTCTCAAAAGGCCGTCTCCTGTGGGCAATAAAGAGCTCAAACAGCAAAGTAAAAGAATAACTGGTATTCCATGAGGAGATGTTTAGAGCACTCATCTTCCTTCACATTCCCAAATGTTTTTCCAGCTCACAGCTATTTCAGAGATGTATTGGGGCACAAAGAGTGCTTTGCTTCTATATTTATGGTAAGATCTTATTTCTTTGCATGTAAAGATTACAAGTGTTTTCCATTTTCAAAGAGATGGCAGCACAAGTTGCTTCTCTCAGAAGAAATTTTCCATTAGTCTGGAAACAGCTCATGCTGGCAATGCTAGCTGAGGAAACAGCAGTCGGAGAACAGAGCAGCTGTTCTCTGAAAGAGAATGAAGTGAGAAAGTTAACCAACCTTTGGCTCCAAGCTTGGGTTTGTCCATCAACTACAGTTTCATTGTGATGGCCTCCCAAAAGCAAGTACTCAAAGGTATTAGTCTGCTACATAGACTGGAATGCTAAGTAGCTGCAACTTGCTCTAGGTTGCAAATGCTGTGAGTCACTCCTGTTGAAACCCTAATGTGATGCTAAGGGCAGAGTATTGAGGCACTTCTACCATGGGGATTATCAGGCACAGAAAACCTAATTTAATTCTCCAAGGGAAAAGCCATCACGAGGAATATGAAGCAGCCAGTGGAAAAAAATGTGAACATGGATAATGCTCATCCTGGTGGGGATCATGCAGAGCACAGCAGAGTAGAGTGGAGGTAGAGTTACTATTTTGTAATGACAAAAGGAATGCTGTGAAGTCTTTTGGGTATCAAGAGAGCTTTAAATTCAGTAATGGAAACAAGACATTGTCACTGAAGTGGCCTTTCCCCTACCTGACCCGTCTCATTAACCCACACCTACTGATGGGCCTAAGCAGGATTCTCCATTGTTTTCAAGAGAGTTTCTTTCATGTTTCACTGAGATCTCAGAGAAGGCAAAACCTGCTTCTTCACAACCCCAGGCAGGAGGGTGATGCACAGGGAGTGAAAAGCCACAGTAAGCAGAGCATTCCATTAGGGAAGATGTCTCAAAAGTGGATTCTCCCACAAGATTCAGCCCAGCCTTTCCACTAAAGAAGTGTGGGACTCAGCACAATCAGAACTCCTCGACTTCAAAGATACCCGAGAAATGAATTTGTCCCCGGTTCTTTGGCAATGGCTCTCTGGCCAAAAATGAAAGCTAAAAGACTCAGGAAACACCAGGGTAATCTTGTTTCCTTTTCCCCTGGTGCAGCAAGTGCAGAGCTGACTGCAGAACACAGGATGCTGCGTGTCTGCGCTGTCCCTTGTCCACGTGCTGCTGCTGGAAATCAAAGATTTAGCTTCTCAAAGCAGCTTCTTGGCAGGTACTGCTAATGGCACTGCAGGGTAAATCAAGGTACTGAAGCACATTAATGCAGTTTGTCTTGTATGTGGGCAAGGGGCAAATACATTCCTCTACATCCTTGATCCTTAGCTGGCATTTCCCACAAAGATTCTCTGTCTTGAGGCAAGAAGCTTGACCTTGAATCTGCCCAGACAGAGCTTGTAATTACAGGTTTTGAATGATGAATACTTCGTTTCTAAGTGTTTTTTACCTCCTCAGCCCCTGCACAGTAGAGACCACCATGCCCTAGGACTGCTCAGTGGAGTCCAGAAAGAGTCAGCAAATTCCACAAGAGAAATTCCCTATAATGAGAAAAGAATTTTTTCTAATCAATCCTTGCATTTCAAGATGTTCTTGTACATAAACAAACGCTGAACTGTATCTATCTACCAACATACTATTTTGCTTCAGAATGAGATTTTAGAGATGCCTAAACTAATAATGCATGGCTGCTGTTTTGGGCCATGCACTGAGATCCACGCAAAGCTGAGCATAAAGATGGACAGTTTGTTCCCTAAGTGGGATTTTTGGTTGAACTTGAAGGATTTTTGTTTCAAAATAAGCACTTGTGAAGAAATGACCTCTGAGAACTGAGCTGCAGTAAGAGGTGATATTGCCCATCTACACAAAGCTTTTCAAGGGCCTCCAGGTAGAGGGTAGATGCGGGTTATTATTCCTAGCATAACTCTGCAGCATCTGTCAAACTAACAGATGATACTCAATCTTCCTTACAAAGCTGATGCTAGAGGGATAAAAACTGTATCCTCAGAAAGATAGATACCCACAAGAAATGTGAGTTTAGAAAACTACCCCCAGGAGTCTATGAATGAGCCCAAGCCTGCCCTATGCATGCCACTAAAAATGACTTCTCACTTTCCAGTCAGTTTGGAGCACTACAAGAGTGATGTTCTTTTGGCTGGGTCCCTCAGCACAGATGAGATGCTAAGTTATTTGGCTGGCCTCTACTTAAACCCAAGCTTGCAATATCCCAACAGATGCTATATACAGAAATTATATTGTGCAGCCAGAGCCTTATTTAATGAATTTGATCTCTATAAATAATTAAAGCTACTTCCCCATCTCCCCACTCCCATGAGCAAACTTTGTGCTGTAACTCAGGGAGCCAAAGCTCTTTGGAATCTCATGTTGGTCGATAGTGCCCAGAGCTGCTCACAAGCATTGACAGAAACCTGAAGTAACTCTATCAAGGCTACACATCAGATTTGGGGTACTTAAACTGGATCTAAACTGGTGAACATAGAGGATCAGGCTCTATAAATTGAGGATCAAGTTCCATATCATTAAGTCCTAGCCACACCAAGGTATTAATATTAATTTCCCTATGCTGCAGGCTGGACAGATCACAGTCAGTAACTAAGAAGTGTGTGCTAATACTCACATGGCTCTCACAGCCACGGTATGCAAGCGCCTATGGACACCTCTTTGACAACCTTAGTTTCATCCAGTACAAAACCACGTGTTTTAAAACACATGTAAACATTTTTAAACCCCTCAGTGCCATGGGTTAGTGGTGGCCTTGGCAGTGCTGGGGTAAAGGTTGGGCTTGATGATCATGAAGGTCTTTTCCAGCCTTGTTGATTCCATGCAAAGGGAATTGCTGGTACCCGCAGGAAAAAGGGTTATCATGTCAGAGCTTTGGAAGAGGGAGGACTCTTTTAGGTTGGAATTCCAGCTCAAGCAGTGTCTTTCTGCTCTCTGAGTTTCACGCAGTCTGATGGCTGTGTTGCTTCTACACGAGCAGCTGTGCCACCCCGTGTTTACCTGTCATAACACAGCACAGTCTCTCCATGGGCAGTGCAGCCCTTGCCAAGATCTGACAAAACGCGGGGAGAATCTCCCCACCCACTACAGACAGATGAGACCTACAAGCCCCAGCAGGTTCATCCCTGGAGCAAGGCCAGTTTCTGTGCTCCCCTTTTTGACAGTGCTTCCTTCCCACCAGCCAAACAAGTAATACTGGATGTGCTGTTTGTTAACCTTCCTATGCTCTTCTCCTGCAAACTGTGGTTGGTAGAGGTTTACTCTGTTACCGTTCTTACCTATGCCACATCGCCTCCTGCTCTGTGCCCATCCTGTAAGTCCATCTCTTTGTCAGGATGAAGTACCAGCTGAGCAAGCCCTGCCCCATTCCCAGTGTGAGAGCTGAACTGCCGATCAAAGCTTTGTTGTTATATACCTGCCAATGGCCAGACAAAAGGCCAAATTATAGATGGTGAATACTGCTTCTTCAGCAACTTACTTTCTCATGGATTAGTTAACTTTTTCCTAGTGTTCTTCATGATGTCTCACCCTCATGATTTCTTCCTTGGTTTATGTTGTTCTTGAGATTATGTTTAGATCCGTTCCAGAATTTCAAGCATCATCTATTTGAATGCTTCCAGAGGTGCTAAGGCACATGCAGAAGTTAATCATTGACATGAAATAGTACCAAAAGTAAAATGAAGTCAAACTGATCAAAAGCAAAAACTGGGCTTCCTGTATCCAAAGGTTTTTCTACTTGTTTGGCTTTTTCTACTTGTTTGTTTTTTCCCCTGGTCTTAAATACCCTTTCTGGGGTTCATTTTCCCCTCATCTCACTTACTGCTATTACTATGGCCCACCACCAGATATGTTCTTCTACAAATAGCCTATGTCTGCTCATCAAAAGACTCTCATAATCTGTCTGGGACCATGATCTGCTATGCCCTACCTTTCCCATTAGATTTGGTAACCTTTCAGGCAGTGAAATGCTCTGCATCTTTCCCAAACTGTATTGTTGGAAAACCCAGTATAAATACCATAAACCAGGCTACTGCCTAGGATAAATACAGACAGCTGAGCTAAAAAATAAGTTATCTGGTTACCATTAAAGTTAAGGGAATGGAATGCTATGCAAGTCCTGTTAGTTGTAGATGATCTTTGGTCACGGTAAACACTGAATCATGTTATTTAATGCACATTAAAAAGACGTGTTTTCTAACAGTGCATTTTGCCTGGTACTGATAAGGTCTCTAACATGATCAGAAAATTCAGCACATACAAAGCATCACAAATACAAAGCCAAACCTTTTATGAAGGCTTCTCTCAGTTAATCTATAAGCTCACTATGGCACCATCGCCTGCCCAAGTGTTGGTAAAACACCTCGTGCGTCTGGAGCGCAATATGCTTCTTCGGTTGTAGAAGCCCCTGCACAGAGAGTGGTGAGATCTCTGAATGAAGGAGAGGTTATTTGGAGGGGAATCTTCTAGGTTTGTGGATTTCCCATTCATAGGTGCACACTTTGTCACTTATGGGCATGCAGGTAGAGAGAGTTGTTAAGCCTCGTGCCCAGTACTGTAGCTTGCGCTGTACATACACCGTAACTTACCACCACTGACCACCACTTATCAAGGCAGATGGAATTCAATACCAACCAGAAGCTTGGTTATTGACAAGTCACATTTTTCCTTTCAAGAGCTAATGAAAGCCCTTCTGAAAACAAGAGAACTTGTGGTCATGAATAGGATCACAGAATGGTTTGGGTTGGAAGGGACCTTCAGAGCTCCTCCAGGTCAACCCCTGCAATGAGCAGGGACATCTTCACTAGATCAGGCTGCCCAGAACCGCATCCATCCTGGGCTGGCGTAGCAGTTCACTGCACATGGAAACATACTTCCAGCACTGCTGGCAGAGACAGAGGTTTTACAGCTTCCCTCTGTTTGGAGCTCCCTGTCCCAGGTCTTCAGAAAGCCGCCTGTAAGTGTCACAGAACCCACTGAGCCCTCTTGAAAACCTGCCCCAGTGTGCTGAGCCTGTCACACCAGCAGCATGCTAGTAAAGAGCAATGTGTAGTGCAGCAAACATCCTTGCCACAAAGGTTGAACTGAGGCAGCGATAGTGTATGATATAACAGAGAAGGAAACCCTGAATGCAAGGAGACACAGGGTCTACTCAAAGCTCTGCTTACTGGATGCATTTTCTGCTGCATATGAAAGCAGCCAGGGACTGCTGGACAAACTCAATGGCAGCCCCTGGCTCAGCCTCCAGCCTCCCAGGGTGAAAAATGCCACTCCTCATCTCCAAACCAGGTGCTGTCATCTGCTAATGCATAACATCAGCCTGGTTGTTGATTTAGACAGGGCACTAAGATGAGACCTGAACTATAGCCCTCTGTGATACAGCCAGCCTGCTATATCCAAACAGTTTCAGCATGCAAAGAATTGAGAAGTCAGCCAACCCACACAGAGACATTTTTTGAGGTATTAAATCACAGGGCAGGACCTTTCCTTGGCAAAGCAACAGCACAGCTACTCGTGGAAAAGGTTGTTAAGAGCCTAAAATGATTAGCATAAGAGACTGTTCAAGGGCAAATCACATTCGCTAATGACAACTCTGGTGTATTAGTCTGCCTCTGGGTCTGCACCAGCCAAAACCAATCTGTTAAAGGGTAAAATTATAGAGACCAGTAAGGCACAGCAGCCTGTTGGAACAGGATAAAATAGAACAGAAACACCCTTTGAACCATACCTCGCAGTGAGCACTTGCTCCTGACTTCCAGGGTTTCCAACAGTAATCAAGGACGTGTTTCAGTTCTCTTCTGGGCTGGGCTGGGCTGCATTCTGGTAGCATGGTTTTGGCAATATTCCATTACTGCTATGGCTGGTTGCACTTGTTATTTTGCATGGACATCTATAAAGCAAAAAGGCTGTTGAAAGTGTTTGGGTGGTTTTTTTCCCCCCGACTCTTATTTTACCAAATGACAACCCTCACTTTAGGCAGATTCTGAATTCAGATCTCACCTAGATGGCTGTGCAAAGAGTAGTCCATGTTCGACAATTGCTCTCCTTCCCCATGAGCTTTCTCACCATTCTCCCCATCTGCCACGTGGGAAGCAGGAAATACACAGTGGAGCAGGACTGATTTTCCTGATTTGCACAAACTCATTCACACTTCATCCAGGTTCATAATTGCACAGTGAAAAGACAGTCCTTATACTCACATTTCATGACTCACACCACCAAAATAATGGTAAATCCAGTCCCCATTTAAAAATCACTGCTTCTGCATTAAAGAAGACACCTTAAAATGTGCCAAGTTCCAAAAACCAGGTTGCAACCAAGTGCATTCAGCAACTGTCAGCACAAACCTGCTGTTCTGTAACTGGTACAGTAGCACTGTAGATGAAATACAACACTAACAGCTACCTGCCAAACCCACCACCTACCTGTGACAAACAGCAAGTTCTCATGGGTTCGATGTTTCAAACATTTCTTCAGGTACTGTAAAAAGTCAGAAGAAAATTGACAATAAATATCATTAAGGAATATTTCTTCATTGTTCTGAAATCAGCGTTTTCAGTTATTCAACAAGACATTTGTTTCTTGGATAACCTTACTTGTCTTCATTCATCTAATACTGATTCCATTACTAACACTAATTTAAAAAGTGGTAAAGAGTTAAATGTATTGTTTAGGTGTAAATATTAAAGGTATTTAGTTTAAGGGAAGAGTCTTACTCCCACCAGCAGTCTGAATTGTGTCTGTGAGCTATCATCAGGAAACTTCGTCTTCAGAGAAGAACATGGAAATGTCTCATTCAAACCAGACAGTGTTGTCCGAGATAGAAGAGAAAGTCTGAGTGTTCTCATAACCTGAAAACTGTGGGAGAGCAAAGAGTGTTTCAGATAGCTGGAATGATGGAATGGCTGGGACAAGGGAATACCAGCCCTATGTCAGGGATTTTTGATGCCTTTATAGTCATAAATGCCCAAACCAGCGCTAATAAATTTGGCTGAGCCTTGATTAAGCCCCTTTAATATCATCTAACTAACTTGTCACTTTGTCCTGAAGATGCTAAGAAATTTGTCAGCTTTTGTCATAGGTTTCATCATTTTGCTTTTGCCACTGCTCCAGTATTACTGTCCATCCATTAAAAGGCCAAAGGAATCTGCTGGTTTTAGTCTGCAGCAGTGGAGACTGTGCTCAGACCTTGTCACAGTCACTGCTTAAAATCCATGTTAAAAAGCTCCTGGTATGCAGAAATTCCCACTTGCAACACCTGGTCACTGAATTTTGTTATCATTTTTCTAAAGCAAGAGGCCTTTCACTGTCAAATTGCTGTTTCTTACAGTGTTCCTGAAGAACCACTTAACTTCCTACAGAATAAGTTAAGCTCCTTTTGCAGAATAGAGTTTCTATTAAATCCTTCTATCATTCTTCTCATAACATTCCACTCAGATTTTAGCATCTTTCTTGATACATTGCCAGCAAAATTGGACAACGCATTCCCCACAACAGTTGTACTCATTCCCGAATACAGAGGAACTTCCATTCTCGTTAGAACATTAACCGTTTTAGCTACAGGTTTGCTATCATCAGTTAATATTGATACGACTATCCAGAATGACTCCCAAGATCTCCTCAGCACCATGAGGTTTCAGGGCAGTTCCTTAATTTGAGGAATTTCATCCTTCCTAAAGAGAGGACTGCTTTTGATATGGATGTTGGTTATGAGCATACAGGCTGGATACAGTTACTTCTTAGCTCTCACCTCTCTGTTCTTGACTTGGCTTGATGTCAGTTTGGTTCCTAATGAAGGCATCAATGAAAATAATGTAGGTACTCTATTGCCTTTCCCAGAAGGAACATCAGATGAGTGACAGGATTTGTTTCCCATCTATTGGTACTCACTATCTCACTTTAATGCATTATTAGGTCTTGTACAAGCCTACCCAACCCTTGGCCTGGAATTGATGATGTTAGAGTGACAAGCCAGAAATTACCTGGGTTATTCTTTCTACATCTTTAAATAGCAATGCACGTTTCTGTAAGGAGTTTTGAAATGCAGTAAGTGCTACAGGTTAAAGCAGTTAACTTCTGCGGCAGACCACACTTGTGCTGATTGTACTAAACAATGGTTAAGAAAATAACTACTCCTCTCCATTGAAGAGAAAATGATACCTTGCAAAGGAGAGAAACCACAGCCAGGGCTTTGAGGCTTTGTGGAAGCAGCTAGTACTGCCTTCAAGTGTCGCAGCAGTTCAGATGGCTTCTTAGGACTCACTAGGAACTGTCGCATTCCAGTATGATGTGTACACATATAAACTGTTTCTTGACTGTGTAGCATTGCTTGATTTTCATTTAATGCAGGACTATGAACACTAATTCTGATCCCTCATGGTGCTGAGGGGTGAGAAAATCCACAATAAACTAATTGTGGTGATCAGCTTGTCTTCAGAATTTTATCAATTTCTTCTCCTATATAACAAATCTCTCCTGCAAAGAGTTTTTATACAGCAAAGAAGAGAAGTTGTAAGTTGCTAGCATTTTTGTACTCATTTGTAAAGGAACAAAGAATTTCAATGATTACCTCATTGCCCAGCCAATATGTTAGTCTTCAAGCAAGAACTGATCGAGATACCTACCAGGAAGACAGTACCCATTGACTTTGATTTAGGTTTTAGATACAGTTACTTTCAATCACTTCCTGTTTTTAAATGAGTGCCACAGATCAAAACACTGAGG